TTTTACTCTCTCGCTGACCTCGTAGTCTATAAGTCTGCTGTTACACTCACACCTAAAAATACTCCTTTTTTTGCGAGTGTTTTTTTTTTTTTTTTTATCTTTATTATTAAGCAATTTTTTCTTCGCAGTTAAGCCATATTTAATTCAACAGCAAACTTACAAAAATTTTAAAATCAGCATAAGAGTGCACGTTTAGAAATCCTGATGCAGTGCTAAGTGTTGGCATTCCTTTTTCTGTTTTTTAGTATCTTACCTCAATTCATCATCTTAATGTTCAATTTTCTTACTAAGATATCTTTACAATTTTTTTTTTTTTCTTCTTTACCTTTTCATTATTAACATTTTGTGATGATAACACATGATATTTAATAAACAAAGTAATCATGATCTTGGCGCTTATGCCACATAAAATTCGATTCAATAGCAAAATCACAAAATATTTACATACAGCATACCCTTAGAATTTCCGATACACAGTCTCATACGCTGGAAATAAAAATGTTTTTTGCGTATAGTGCTGCCTGCCCGCTTTGAAATCGTTCTCCGTTTGTTAATCAAATATTCGTTAAAGATTTACAAAATATGAAAATTCGGACTTCCAGGTTACCATGTTCGGGTGAAGGACTATGTTATACAAAATGTGATGGCTCTTGTTGACGGTTTGTTGTTTTTTCACAATGTGAGAAACATGCAGATTCTTCATTATTTAATTTCTTTAAATATAACACAGGGCAATAACATTTGGTGGTAACAATTTCAAAAGTTATACGCCGTTTATCGTGATTCAACGTAAAATGCCGTTTCGAGACTAATATTCCAATCGAGCTAAAAGAGTAAAAAAATCTGATGATGGAAATCACGACTTACCTGGACGGCCTATTAAATTATACACATTTTTTACTGCATTTCATTTAAACGTATTTCCTCGAATTTCATTAAAGATATATTTCTCGTTCAATTAACTCAATTCTCAATTAGCGGAAAGGCAAAATTACACAGCAACTCAAGACATCTTCATTAAAAATTGTAAACTAAAGACAAACCTAAAACACCAAATACATTTAAAAAGAGTTTTAAAAAAAATTACAATTAAATTTAGAGTTTCTAGGCAAAAACAAGCAATTCGGCCAGCGGGAAAGAAGACAGATTTTCGATGCACAAAATTGTGACCTTTTGGACGAGTGGGACCAAAGTTCAGCCAAAAGGACGCTGAAAGTGGTGCAAAAACTCATTTTAATTCACTACTCTTCTAAGAGTTTCAAATGTTAACAAATGGCGGCCTCGTTACTTAGTACCACTTAAACAACTTTTACACTGTTGTTAATTCTACAACTACTGCACGCAGATCAACTAAAGGTATAAAAATCTTAACCGGAACATAAAAACACCATAGTTCAACCATAAATTAAAAAAAAAAAAAAAATGCACAATTTACAAGTTAGCAAATACATTTTAATATGTAGTTTTTGCAATTAAAACTAGAGTTTCTACGTAAAAAAAAAAAAAAAAAAAAAAAAAAAAAAAAAATGTAATTCGGCCAGCAGGCAGGAAGACAGATTTTTCTGTGCACAGAACTGACAGTTTTCTTTTGGTTCCATTCGGCGAAAATACACTAAAGATGCGGAAACTCACTTAATTCATTGTTCTGCTAAGTTTCAAATGTAAGGAAATATGGCTGCTATGGTAAAAAACTAGGCTTAGCCGCACTTAAGCAACTTTTAAAATTGTTGGTAATTCTACAACTATTGCATGCAGATTAACTAGAGGCATAAAAACCTTAATCAGAAGATAAGAACAACATAATTCAATTACAACAATACAATTCCTTTTAAAGCAAAAATAAGAACAACAATTCCTTTTAAAGCAAAAATACACAATTTACCAACATAAAAGAATAAAAAACTGAGCTCACTGAGCCGAGTAGTGTGGGTATATACATAATTTTGGTGCGACCGATTGCAACCAAAAAGGAAGGTGCATACCTACGTGTTATAGCAGGCCTATATACAAAATTTCAAGGTTCTGAGGGTATTCGTTTTTGAGTTATCCGAGATATATATACATACAAGTACAGATGTCACGGAAAAAATCTCTTCTGAATTCATTTTAAATTAGTTTTATAATTCGTTTGGGGAAAAAAGTCCTTTATTCTGTCCTTATGTGCAGATATCACGCAAAAACATCGTTAAATTGTATTCGATAGCGGTCAAAATGGCTATTTTCGTTGAAATAAGATACCCGAAAATTTTCGCGATTACAATACTTCCTTTACTTGTATAAGGAAGTAAAAAGGATGGATTTCGTCAGAAAATGAATTAAAAATTAAATACACTGGTTTCCAAAATCAGCAGAATTGAGTTTAACAATCTAAAAAAAAAGTCGTTAAGAAATAAATTATTTTTTATGCAAGTAGGCTAACATTAATCAAGCTAGTGGATTATAGTAAAACTTCACATAATTCTGCCGCACACATTTTGAACAAACTGTGTTGCACTGCAATAACGTTTTTATAGCTCCGAATTGGAGAATCTTTGATATGTTATGAGACGAGGGGAGCTGAATATTTCTACAAAATAGAATGCATTTCTTAACACATTCCAAACATGCTGAACTTGTTGTCTGGTGAGCTGGATAAGGATGAAGAAGAAAGAAAACTTCACTAGAAAAAAAAAATCGATATTTACCTGTAAAAGGCAAATCGCAACAGGCTGTCGATAATTACCGTATTTGACGGCAAATACGACGCACTTTTTTTCCTAAATTTGGTCTCAAAAAAGTTACCTGCGTCTTTACGTGAAGAACACAGTTTTATACGTGAAGGTAATTGCATTCAATAATTGTTTATTTGGCTTTTACGAAACGTGAGAACCAAAAGAAACCACGCTATTGAAATTTTTTTTCTTGTGTGTCGCCGTCTAAATAAGGGTGCGTCTTATATGCCGTCAAATACGGTAGGTAGTTTTCTTTGAACTAGCAGATGCTTATTGGCATTTCATGAGAAGAAGTTCTACTCAAAGAATTCTAGCATATATCCTTCTAACTTCGCGACAAAACAGAGCGCATCTGAACTGAAGCAGACATCATAAACGTTTATGTCAATAACAATACGCTTATGAAATATTTGGTAACGAACAAAGATTTAGCTCAACTTTTGATTCTTTCGATCTTAAGCGTTTTTTGTCTAGAATAAAATATGAATTAAAAATCTGACAATGAAACTAAAAGTGTTGATCATTATGCTCGGCGATATATCACTTTCTACAGCATAATATTAAATAAATTTTCGTCCCTAGTCGTATCGGAATGAAATCCTTACGGAACCCTGAATAAATTCTTTGCATATGCATATGACTCTAATTTCCCTGTTTATGATTGTCCACATACAGTTAAAACTGGTGACTTGTATTCATCAAATTCGAAGACATCTAGGGAATAATATGTGCAGGTTTGCATCCATTCAAACACGAGAGTTAATACTTCGGTCACATTAAGAACAGTAACTCAAAGATATCAACCTCCTCTAATAATCCTAAAAACTGCTTTAATGGAAGAATAGTTTTTCATTATTTCAAGTGTTCTAATTAATATTTTAGCACGAAGTATTTGTTGTGACACTTGTGCTAGAACATGGTTGATTACATATTTTTAAATCAAAAACTTTTAAGACAATTTTTTCAAAACTTATATGAAATTATCATTAATTTCTGTTTTACAAATTATCTGTTATCACACATAAACATTCAATGTTAACGCTTAATTCGAAATTAGGTATAAAATTTGATAAATTGTTTTATCAATCACTGTTAATTTACAATCATAAGCCCTTTCCTTAAAATTTATCACCTAATTTTAATTTTATACAAAGGAAAGATTTCAGCGCACATGCTTGCTATATAAACTAAAAGTTAATGTAAAAAGTTTTCGAAATGTTAATGAAAAGCTTCGGAGCTCATTTCTCCTGAAGAATCGTTCTGTCGTTTTCGCCAACTGTTCAGTTGCTTTTATATCATAACATTAATATTACGCTAGTTTTCTCAGTAAACTTCCATCAGGCTTTTATTGTTTTATTTGGTACGTCTTTACTACATCCTAAATAGAAATTCATTTCGCTTGTTGTGCACACTTTCTAAGAATTTCGCTTGGAATCATGTGAAACACCATTGGCGTGATATTTTTACCACATGCTATGCATACATAACAAATAATTTACATATTTAAAATGTAAATTAAGATACCGTTATAATATGAACAATGATACTAGATACTTATTTTACTTAATACACAGAAACAATAATAACTATTTGCTGACTATTTTGGAACCATAAACAAATCGCATAAAAATTAGACCGACTGTCATTAGAGAAAGATAAAAATAACTCTTGACTGGAAAAGGTTTAAAATGACGGAATTCATGCTGGATTCTTAGGTGCAGACGCTGCACTCTAAAAGTAAAAAATGCAACACCAAATACAGAAAAGTTAGGAGAATCATATTTTGCTCAGTCAGCATTCCGAAAAGAAAGTAAAACGCCCAGAACTGTAAATGATTTCCAGCTCAGCGGAAATTCTATTCCGGCAAACCCATTCGTTTCGTTTATTTCATGGCACAATATGGATATTGAGTCTTTAAAAATCATTCAGGACTACCGTCGTTACGCACACGAGGAGGAATAGGCGATTTCTCTCAAAATACGGCCAATCGATCAAAACTAAAAATCGATTTGGTATCACATCTGGATATTTCTTCAAAAGCGAGAATGAGAAATAAAAATTAAAAAATAGCCTCCTCCCAGCCAAAGACGGTGCGGAGGGGTGTGCGGAAGTCCGAGAATTACCACCACGGACGCCCTCAAGTAACGAAGAACGAAATCAGAGTGAGGGAAAAGGAATATATAAACGCATCCCCCCCACCACCGATCCTTCTCTTCCTCTACGGCCAATCGAGATATCGATTCCCTTTGTCAAAATTGACGGAACTCAAGGAAAGAGGAAATTTCGTGGCAGAAGAGGGAAAGAGAAGACAAACCCATCCCTTCTCTGCAGTTCCCCTCTTCGAACGGAAAAGCAATCGAAAAACAGCGTCGAACAAATTCGCGAAGCCTCCCCTCTTATGGGCAGGCCTCTACGCTTATATATATAAAAGGCGAACCAGCAAGACTCGGTTCAATGCAGATCAAGCGATGAATGATTTGTGGAAAAATCGATGTCCGAGAAGCCCCGGTGGGGGGTGGATCCGGGAGGAAGGAGGATAGTAGCGAGAGAAAGAGGGAGAGCGCGTCAGTAAGGCACAGAGGGCGGCACAGGAGCCGTCTGTAGTAGTGGTGTGCTGGTGCTCCGATTCCAGCAGACGCGCACCCCCGTTCAAACTCTCTGGACACTCACCTCCAGCAGTTGTGGCGAGCAGGGCAACTCCAAGGATTCCCACAGCTCCAAGATGGTGGAGGCATCGGCGTACCTGTGAGGGAAGAGAATTTCACACGGTGAGTGTTCTGGCAGGGTTAAGTTTCTGTTCCTCTTTCATAAAACAATCATCACAATAGAGATAGATGCGTATCAACACAGGGCAGTGCGCGTGCGCCATGCCAATCGAGCAAGATATATAAATTTGAAAGGCGGTAGGTCTCGAATAACGTAAATAAATCCAAAACGTACGTGGATTGCGTTCAATTGGCTGGAAGATTTTCAGAGCGGGTTTGGTGTTTGGGATGGAATCAGAATTTTTTCCGGGTGGGATGCTTCGGCAGCGAAAGAGAAAATTTCTACAGAGCGTCTGGAGTTGTCGCGCTTGCGCAATCTCCGTCTAAGAAGCCACCATGGCGTAATTTTCTTCCCTCGTTTTGGATATTCGAGGAAGATTTTTATCGGGAAAATTAGAATTTTAACACATACAAAAATATATCGTACTAAATATACGCAATCTACAGTAGGCAAAATTCACAATACCTCTTACAGGCATTATGAATTTGGAGTGCGGAGTTCATTTTTAAAATCTGATCGCTGTTGCTATCCGAAAATACGAACGTGGCATCTGGAAAATCTTGATAAGAGATTAAGTGCTATTCTCCAAATGCTTTCGAAAACAACGAAACGAAAAGCGCGTGATATATACGGTCTTGCTCAAAAGTCATGGGAACTGTGACAAAAATTTCATTTAAGGAAAGAAAAGGCTGAAAAGTTTAAAATACAATATATTTCAGTACTCTGCAGAATCACATAAATAAAACACGCAGTCGAATTATATAAAAAGAAAATTAAAACTCCTAATCGTATCCTCTAAAAAGAAAGCATTTTCAAGACGTTTGAAATTTTTTTTTTTTTTTTTAACTTGAAAATTTTATACCTCCAATAATGTAACTTCAACCTTCATTTTTACTGGTATTGTACCATTAAAAAAAGTCGTTCCTGCTCCTTTATTCATACGCATATTTCTTGCTAACTTCCTATTGCTTCATCTGCGCATAATCGAATAGCTATCTTAAAAAACTTTTAACAGTCTTTAAATATTTTTTAACCTAAATTTTCAGTTTCAGCAAAAATTAGAGCTTGAAATTGAAATCAACACCATCATACTATGTTGTAACTGAAGAATTTTTATAGTCAAATGGGAAAATAAATCGCCTGCAATAACTAAATTTTAAAATCCTTTTAAAATGATATAAGATGTTCAAAGTAATATTCTTATTTTTTACTCAAATTCTACAATATTTTGAAAATATATGCAGTATGTATACGTTTATATAAATCCTTTATATTAATGGAATGCATTTAAAAACGTTTCCAGGATATGAAGATGTGATACATTTTTTACTTCTTATACTTAATTCTTATTTTCTTCATCAAATTCAATCACAGACCTGCAGCATATTACTGCGCGATAAATGAAGCTGTGCATGAATAAGTTGAAATATAACCAAAATATAAAATAATTATCAAATTTTATTTCAATTATTTAAATGGTTGCTATTTTAGGAAAACCAATTAATTCCTAAAAAATATTATCAATTTATTATCTAAAAAATATTTCCAAACCTCAATTATTACTTCTCCGGATCTCATTTTGTTAAATAAGATTTTCGAGTGGAAAAATTATATGCATTACAAATTTCACTAATTTTAAATCCATAATTTATTGCGTTTAAAAGGATTAGAAAAGCAATAAATTATGGATTTAAAATTAGTGAAAATTAAAGAATAAAATGAATTCTAAAATTAAAGAAATTTTAAAAACCTAAATGCAAATTTAAAATATTACATTGACACATACTCCAGAAATAATACAAATGAACTCATTAGTGACAAAAGTATATATCAAGTAACTGCGGATGCTCAACACTGAAACACGTCAAAAATAAAACACAGATTTTTTTCCCCCGATATCTCTTAAACTGGTTACGAAATAGTTATTAAGTAAAATATAAAAATAATAATTATGATTAATAAAATTCCTAACTCAATTCGTAGAACAGTCACAAAAATCCTATAAATAAAAAAACAATAAATTCAATACAAATTGTAATCCGTATAACGATTAAATTCTTATTTTTCTTTTAATTTTAAATGCACAATTAATTTTGAATTTGAGCTTCCATATTTCCTCAATGCAGTTAATATTAACACTGATATTTTATAACATAATTTACGTCCTAATTACCATAATTTATTAGTCAAAATCAGCATAAATAACAACTAAAAAATAAATTTTTAAAAACTACAGCTTTAATACCTGTTTACAATTAAAAAATAAATATTAAGGATTTATTCATCTTTTAACAATAGTTTAAAATGCCTGCCTAATTTTTCAATTAAATATAGTCTGCATTTCCTTACACGAAGAATTTTCTGAAAATTTTAAAACTTTATTACATTTACTCTCCAAACACATCGGGAAAACAGATACATAACACATGAATTTATTTAAAATTTTCAAATTTACTCATTGATAATTTATTTTTGATAATTATGGCAATAACATATCTGTAATACAAACACAAATTACACTTGATGTAATTAAAAAAACTCATTTCGTAACATTCGCCAAATTATGCGAAACAATGCAAATGCAAAACATATATAAAAAAATGGGTAAGAGTAATCTTTAGAACTTATATATCAAGAATGGAAAACTACGGAAGAAAACAATAGTTCACTATCAAGCAAACCTTTTATCATTAAATTTGATTCAGAGATGTATCATTATTAAATCATTTTTTGTTATCACTTTTCTTTAACTCACGAGCTATATATATATGCCAATGTACAAAACATAAAAACACTGAAAAAAGTGGAAAAAATATTTTTTACAATTTTCTCAAAGATTTTAGAGAAAAAAAATTTTTTCAAATAGTTACTTAAAGAATTTTTTTTAATAATTTAAAACAATCCGTTCCATCGAAAATACAATGTACTAAAACAGATTGTTTTTAAATTAGCTTTATTTTTAATTATTTTATATACTATTTATTCTCTACCGTAAATAAAGATTTCTTAGAAATTCTGATTTTTTTAATTTTTGATGTGACCGAAAAAAGAAAATTCAAAACACGAAATAATTGCTTGTTAATTAACTTAATATTTAGATTTACAAATGGGCATCGGAAAAAAAATTCAATGACGAAAAGATTATGTGCGAAAACATGGGCGCTTTATTGGCAATAACATGCAAATGGATACATTTTAAAAACATTTCCATCGAATATTTTTCGTCATCATACTTATATTTTACTCTAATTATATAATTATGCAATAATAAGATGCTAAAAAATTTAATTAAATTAAATTAAAGAAAAAAGAAGGGGGTAATTCTAAGACTTTTAACCGATAGCTGAAATTCATGAGTAAATTGTTAGTGAAGTATATTATCCCGAATATTAAAAAATATAATTTTTCATCTTATATCAGAAAAATTCCACATTAAAGACTCGGAGGAAGGAATGTAAGCAAAATTTAAAATTTTCGTTTACTTCAAAACATTTTTTTAAACGTTCATTAAAGTCATTTATGAATCAAAAATTAAAGTTTGTTTTTTCATTACTTTTATTATTTTTAAAAATGCAATTTATAATTTTAAAAGCATTCCAAAATTATTGAAGTATTCTTATTTTTTAAAATAAACTGTTTCATTATTTTGAATTAATTTCTACAAAGATATCCTCACGCCTTTTAATTGGAAATTTTATTTAAAAAATTTAGTCAGAAGATTTTTTTTAAAAAAATCAATCAAAAATCAAAAAAATTTTGGATTATGAAGAATAAAAGTTTAAAAAAAGATTTCGCAGTCACACAAAATATGCTACAGTAAAATAAATAACTTTTATAACAATTGTACATTAAATATTTACATATTTTTAAATACTATATTATGATTATATCAAAAATAATCTACAATGAAATACGAACATCTATTAGAATAAATCTTGATACATGATAAGTAATCATTATGATTTGGTTTTTATACTTCTATTTTTTGTACACAGGCAAAATTTAAATTTTACAACAGACTGTTGTAGCAGATTTAATAAGCTTTTACTAAAAATAACTTAAATAGTTAACTAAATTTTAATCTAAAGCTCATTTTTATATTCAAGAGTCAAAAATAATTAATACCTAATAAAAATATAACAGCCAAAGTTATTACAATCAAAATCTTGAAAGGACGATGCACTTAGTAGGTACTCTCCATAAATGGAAGTTCTGACATCTCTAATTATTTCAACAGCATCTTGAGTATGATCGCAATATTGCAATCCATTTAGAAGCAAGGTAGATATTCTAGCCACATGAAAGTTCTTTTCGCTTATGTGAAAGACCTACGTGTATTTACTAAACGAAAGAAATCTCAAAAGGCTTTTCCATTTTCCCTAAAATAAAACACGCGAAAAGCAAAAAAGGCCAGCAAAAGCCTTGAAGGAGAAAAAATGCGGTGCAAAATTGGAAATCGCCGAAGTTGTACATACTGGTCGATAAGCTAACAGCCTGGATCGTAAAAAAAAAAAAAAAAAAAAAAAAAAAATTCCATTTGTTAAAGAAGTTATAACCTAAAGCAGAGAACAATTTCACACATACCAATTTAGCATTAATTAGAATTTCAAAACTGAATGTGTCTAAGAATTTGTCTTCCCCTCCCACAGAAAGTCGAAAATGATGTACCATTGCATGATCAAGAACTGACAGATTAAAAAACATGCTGTAACAGGACAGAAAATGAATATAAATTTATTGTATTGTAACAGAACAAAATATGAATCACCAAAGCAGAAACACCCAACAATTAAGAGAAGTAAATGCATTAAATTTTCGCAGCGATTCATATTGCTGAAATTATTACAGAAAATTATAACCTAAATTGAAATGTCCTGCTGCAGAAGTCATTACTTTGATGAATTCATTAACATATCATCAATTCCCATCATTCCAATCTCTGACAACTCAATTTAGCATATCATCAGTTATCAACCTGTGGTATTTTATGCTTTTCATCTCC